AGACAGACAGACAGACAGACAGACAGACAGACAGTGACTATCTCCCCTATTAGAATATACAGCATCTAGAACAGGACCAGATACAAAGAAGTTGCTCTCTGACTGTTGAATGTTGCTGAATTTGGACACAGATGGGACTGGCATTCACTCTTACATCTACCGTTTTCAAATTCTGCATAAGGGTTAGGGAGATAGCTCAGTGGCTTAAGCACCTGCCAGGTAAGTGCAAGGTCCTGAGTTTGGTCCCCGGTACCACAAAAAATAATTCTGTGTGACCTCAGGCAGTTGCTTCTTTCCTCTAAGCTTTACTCTTCTCATCTATAAAATGGGGACAACTCTGCATATCTCATAGGTAAGAATTAATTGTGATCAAGTACAGTAAGTTCCCAATTTACAAGTGAGTTCCATTCCAGGAGAATTTTTGCAAGTCAGATTTGGTTTTATCCTGCAAAATAATCTTAATACAGTGCACCTGTGAACATTTACAACTTGAATGTTCATAAAGAAGGGACTTACTATATGTGAAAATACATGGCATGATGCCTGGCACAGAGAACCAGGAAATGCCTGTGTGTTGAAATCTGTTTAAAGAAAAATGTCTTCTACTTCTCTGACCCCTAGCATATACCGTTCACCACCATTGGCTCTTCTGGCCTCTACTGTGGTGAAACCATTTTTCTGTATCTGCAGCTCCACACTTACCTGCCGCAGTTGTAGAGGTCACAGCAGAAGCAGGTGTTACCCCGGATGCGAGGTGTGCAGAACCCATGGCTGAGATGAGGGCAGTTCACCTAGGGTATAGAACAGGTGGAGAAATGAGCTAGTGTTGGATGGTAGTAAGGACCCTCTAAGATTGGAAATGCAAGTTAGTGACTGATGGAGACAGTAATGATGGCTGTGAAATGAACACACACACACACACACACACACACACACACACACACACCAGAGGGACAGAGCTGGGCAAGGAGGTGGCCAAAGTAATGTATGAGAAAAGTCAAAGTGTAGCTGTGGTTGTATTCAGCCTTAGCCATAGCCCTTAGTGCCCCATCCCTGAAGGGTGGAGATGGAGAGGAGAAAGGATGGGTAGGACAGATGGAATCACAAATGAACAGTAGGAAGTGAGGACACAAGGGTAGGGAAAATCAGGGCACAGCAGGAAAGAACGGGTGAGAAGGAAGACACAGGGGCCATCACATGCACTCTGAAGTACAGTAGTACCTCTCTAGCTGTCTGGGTAAGATTCCTCATAACCCTCGCGGAAGGAGAATTTTTGGTTGAGGAACTTATGACCTTACATAGGAAAAATAGGGTTAGGGGCTCCAGGGTTATAAGTGCAAATTACAAATGAACCTATGGAAGTCACTAACATTTTTACTGTCACCAAATTAACACAAGAAAACCATCACAATGAAATCAAGAGAACAGCAATAACATTTAACACATTTTGAGTTGGTAAGACATTTCTGAAAACTGAAAAAAAAATTCCATTTACCATCTCTCATTGGAAAGACAATTTCTATGTTCCCTCACCAATATGAATGTGATTAAGTGTTTATATATTTGTTTTGTGTTATTATAGATAATATTCACAGTAGACAGGCATTCTTATCCATATTGGATCTTTCATCCAAATGTTTGCTACCTTTCTGATTAGCTGTTAGTACATACACATTTCTATTCCTCCTTTCCAACCCAAGAATAGTTAGAAAAATGGTACACTTGTGGTTGGTAAAGCAAAACAAAGGCAAGTGTATAGCAGAATCATAATAAACATATCTACCATGATGTCTGGAGGACAGGCCAATCATTCTGCCCAACTCCAAGGGCACTATTCACATTGCCATTTATATAAAATGGCTTCCCCGGAAGCTGCGTAATATAGTGGCCATTTTGCCTTTGTGTGCTTTCCTTTCCTCTTCTCAGTCACAAGTTTATTATTTTTCTCTGCTGAGGGGATCTGGCTTTCAATGTGAGGCTAATAGAATACCAAACTGTCAAGTTTTCTAGAAACATAGTTTTAGGTGGAGGACTCCCTGGGTGGGGGAAGAATTACGGTACACTGAAAGGAAAGCTCTCCCAAACTGACTGTCACCACTATCCACTGTGTCTGACATAAGGCAGAAGGAGAGATGCATGTGTAGGAAAGAGATACCCTAATGTGCCTGCTCATAGGCTGGACTCTTGGGGGTGTCAAGAGAGGATCCAGCTGCCTCTCCAGTCTCCAGGTAGACCACACTGCTCAGTTACACTCCTCTGACCTCAGCCTCTTCCCATATGTGGAGGTCAGGCTCTCCCTCCTTGTCCAAACCTAGGTCAAGGTCTTTCACTATCATTGTCTTTCACACTTCCACCTTTCTTCCAGCTGGGCACCAAGTCCAGGCAACTGAATGATCAACCACAAGGACCACAAAGATGGGGGCGAGATTTGCTCTGTGACCTCTCTAGTCTCTTTTGCTCCTCTTATAATCATAACCACATACTGAAAAGCTTCTCACTGGGGTCCTAGAGATAGCCTCTGGCCACAGAACAAGGTAAACCTGATCAGGTGTCCTGAAGTTCCAACCTATGACTGTGGCCTTATTACACAGTACCGTGTTCTGACCAACTGAACAAATAAGCTGTAGATACCTCATAGTAAACATTAGACTCATGAAAAGGAGTAAAAGAAATGAGGCTTCAGGTAGAACAGGAACTTTCTTAGGAGATAAAGACATTCTGCTCATTTTGGCTCACCTCTTCAGCTTCCTTCTGGGATGTTTTGGGGACATAGTGGCATCGATTAGCATAGAGTGGTTTCAGATCCTGGAAGGATAGAGACAAAGCTAAAGTGATTTCAGCAGGACTTAAAATATCTGAACATACACACACACACACATACACACACACATACACACACGCACACACTCATACACACACACACACACACACACACACACACACACACACCAGAGTAAGCAGTGAGTTGGATTAATTTCTAAAAGTTGTCCATTCAGAGAGTCTTACAACATAAGGACCAGACAAAAATGTTTGATAGCTGCTTTCTATGGGACTACTTGTTTAATGAGAAATTAGGAACTTAATTTGAGAAATGGGTTTCTTGAAATTTCCTTTTCAATTTTCTTTTACTTCTAGACTTCTCATAAACAGTCTCCAGGGAACAAGATTGAACACTCCAGGTGCTATGACATTATACTCCCAAGCTGAGGGAGTACAGCTCCAAAAATGCGGTCACATTATCACCTTGGGACAGGACTAGAGCTGGCTGACATGCACTCCCTGCTGTCATTTCCACAGATTTTTCAGGAGGGAGAGCTCAGGGAACAAGCCCTGGAGGAAGGGCAGCTCCAAGCGTGCTGCGAATTTTAACTCAACTAAGCTATGAGCCATTTTCACTCGCCTACACAGATTAGATACAGCCAAATAGCTCCAAAAAGACTATGAGAGCCTAGAAAACTAATGTGCAGTTCAAGGACAGTGGGCTAACCCCACTAGCTTAGTGAGCTTCTTGGTGAGGGAATTCTCAGCATGGGTTTGGAAGGAACTGAGACTCGAGTCAGAGCTTCCAGGAAGCCTTCAGCTAGGGGACACCATTCACCTTCAGCTGGAGCTTTTTCCAAAGGCAGGTTAGGGCAGGATGATAGTTTATGAAAATTCATCTTAGGGTTTGGCCCAAGCACCCAAGCAGAGGGAATTGATTTTTGCCTTTTCCTTCTGTCTTCACTTGCCATCTCCAATCCTTGTGGGTGCTTTTGTCCATACATGTGATTTAGAATTTCCTGTACTAGGCACCCAAGGGCCTTTTCCTCTGAGCCAGTGCCACCAGCAAGGATCTAGGACTTTCTATGGGCTACATCTTTGCACATGAGTCTCCTGGCTGCTCAGTGTTGTCAAAGTACACTGCCGTGTTAGTTCAGTGTGGAGTCAGGCTGGAAAGGAATGAAGGCTTGCATGCTCACAGATGGCAGGGTTTATTTTCCATGTTTGGGAAAAGCAGAATCATTACCATCTTGCTGAAGAAGAGGCTTGACATGCTGGTCATAGTTCTCCTGGTCTTCCTGGGATTGTTTTGCTTGTTGCTTATTGTTTTGGGTTTGTGTGTGTGTGTGTGTGTGTGTGTGTGTGTGTGTGTGTGTGTGTGGTGGGAGGGTGTTGTTTTTGTTTTTGTTTTGAGACAGGGTCTTGCTATGCAGTTCAGGCTGGACTTGAACTCACTATGTAACCAAGGTTGGCATCAAACTCAAGAAGATCTTCCCACCTCAGCCTCCAGACTACTGGGATTACATGGTTGTGCCACCACTGCAGGCCTGACCTTCTTGGTTTGGGAAAATGCATTCAGCCACCAACTTCCCTAAAGAAAGATAGGCTTGTGTGTTGATAGTCTACTTGCTATTTCCAGATGCTATTCTTCATTACTCCCAGAAGAGGAGCAAGAACAGATGTTTGGGAGGTGAAAAAATGTCATTCAGCCAAGGCTTTTGACCATTTTTACCTGATGGATCCACCAACTTTGGTAGGAAGGGAAGGGAGGGGACGCTACTTGATTGTGAAAGTGCCAGCACCTGTTAGGGTATATTTATGCCTATTGTTGGACTATACCCACACACCAATGCTGAAAAGTAGGTTATTATTCTATACATTTGGAACAAAATAATTATGGCATAAGAAAGTACAATGACTTCCCAGCTAGTTAATGGCCATAGCAAGGAGTGGGGAAAGGAAGGAAGAACACCAGAGTGAGAAGAAATGAAATACATGTAGGGGAATATGGGAGAGGTTTGGTCTTGAGAGGAAGTTCAGATTCACCCATTCCATAGTGACAAAGTGATATTCCAGGATCTCAGTAACAGACAGGTTGGCTCTACCTGATGCAAGCTGTGCTAGGGTCCAACTATGGCTTTCATTGATGTTGGTCAGCAAATATCACCATAGGCTAATAAAGACTCTTCCCTCAAATCTCTTGGTGTCAGTGAGGACTACCAGATGATGGTGCAATGTCAGCAGAAACATTTTCTTAAAGATTTATCCAGCCTCATCCCAAATCCCGAGTCAATACTATCATGTAAGTCCCCAATGCAGGATATACAGAGGGCCTAGACTCAGGTGAGTAGGTGGGCTTTAGAGGAAGCTTCCAATAAGCAGAATTGGGATTTTTGAATTGCTTTCCACTGAAGCTAATGATCAAAAATGTTAGGAGTATCATGGAACTGCAAACCAAAACCATCGTGAAATACTGATTCATAACCACTAGGATGACTAGACCCGACTAGACCCACTAAACTCAAAAAGTCAGATAATAATGAAAATAATGGTGAGATTGCATCAGAATCCTCATACACTGCTGGAGAAAATGTAAAATAGTGCAGTCACTTTGGGAAACAGCCTGGCAGTTCCTTAAACAATAAATCATAATTATCATATCTTAACAATTCTACTCCTGGGCAAAAAGAAAATGTAAATAAAAAGATATGTCCGTGCAGAACCTGTACATAAAAATTTATAATGGCAAAAAGGTGAAAATAATCCAAATATCCATCAACTGATAAGAAGACAAACAACATGTGATGCATTCACACAAAGAAGCATTAGTAGGCCACAACAAGGAATGAAGCACTGATACTTGCTACAGCGTAAATGAACATCAAAAGCCTTATGCAAAATGAAGGAAACCAATCACACAGTAACACATAGCACTAAAATGAAATTCTACAATAAGGCTATTTATGAAAAGTAGAAACAGATTAGTGGTTTCTTAGAGCTGGGAAGGGTGGGTGAACAGGAAGGTGAGAAGAAAGGGTATGGGGTTTCTTTTGTGATGAAGAAAAGGTAAAGCTGACTATGGTGATGGTTGCATGTATTTGTGAGTATACTAAAAACTACTGCAAAAGTGTACATGGGTAAGTTATACATGTTACAAATGATGTCTCCATAAAGTTGTTTTTTTAAAAATGAGTGAAAAAGAAAGAGACAAAGGAAGCCATTTTAGTTCATGTTGCAGGCTTCTTAGCCACTGGGCCTATGTTGCCATGGAGACTGCCTCAGAGTGAATAGTGATTCTCAGATAAGGATAATAATGCCTGCCCTACATATGTAGAGGATTGCTATGGGTCTCAAATGAGATAATAGATATGAAGACACACTAAAAAGCCCAATGCTCTGCACAAAACGAGGAATTAATATTATTAAGATGGCTGTCGTGGGCCATGGTTATGGCCCAGTGATCTAAGTGCCTGCCTAGACAAGCACAAGGACACAGGTTCAATCCCTGACACCACATGCCCTGCCAGCCCCACCCAGGCACTCATAGCTGGCCACCAAGACCGGGCAAGGTGGCACGTGCCTGTAATCCTAGCCCTGGGGAGGCTGAGACAGGAGGATCCCTAAGAGTCCGAGCTGCATAGTGAGATCCTATACCAAATACATAAAAAAGTAGATGGCTTTTGCAGCTGAGGCAGGAAGATGACAAATTCAAGAATAGCCTAGGAAGTTGTGCAAGATCTTGTCTCAAAATAAGAAAGTGCTGGGGGTGTGGCTCAGGGACAGAACACTTACCTACATTTGTAAGGCCCTGGCTTCGATTTCCAGTATTAAGAAAAAAGGTAGCTCCTGCTGAATGCAAAATAGCATGCATACTATGATCGACTGTGACTATGCTACAAAAATAGCCATATTATCATAGAGTAATATGCATAAACAGTAAGTATTTCTACATTACAGTGGTAGAATTATGGATGTTAAGAGTTACTGATGTTATTTGCCCTTTTAAGAAGAAAATATGAAGGAAAAGATGACTGCTTTCAGTAAAATCAAAAGGAGTGGGTCTCATAGCAGGGCTTATATTTACACTCTGTCCTAAAATAAATGCATGCAAGAAGTTTCTCTTTCTCATCCCTTATTTATCCCCTATCCAGAAATTATTTCCTGAGATGCCATTTTAGAGACTATTAAGATGAAATTGTAGATCATATGGGTTCCTTTAACTGTGGCAAATAAGGGACTGACTCTCTTGGGAAAAAGATCTAGAAGGAGTTGGAATTGAAATAATGATGTCTCAAATCATCCTAACCCAGATCCCACCATATGCATGATACTCTCTCAGGACCTTGACAATTAGCCAGTGATTAAAATGGAATAAAACAGCATTTGACCCACAGAAATTCCGATGACACAATTTTGTTCTAATTCAGCTATTTTTAGGAAACATAACTTCCAAAAGCTCACAAGATATTTTCATTTTTCAGGTAGGTCCAATTGAAGTAACAACTCTTTGAATTTGTTCTGTGGACTTGGTAAATTCCTGTGCCTCACTCTTGATTTTGGTCTATGGGCTAGATCCGGGTTACTTTATGATTCGCTATGCTCTCGGCTCTTGACTTAGGACCCATTTAAAATATTAACAGTTACATTTGTTTTAATTATATTGTGTGCCTTCATTGATACAAAGACAAATATATTTATAGTATAGGAGAAAGGTTTTTTCAGCTTAGAAATTTATCTTTTTTAGGGGGGGCAGGTCTCAATATGTAGCCCAAGGGCCAGGGAGTTAACTCAAGTGAGTTCAATCCCTGGTACCACAAAAAAGAAGAAAGAAGAAGTTCAATCCCCGGTTCCTCAAAAAAAAAAAGGAAAGAAAGAAAGAAAGAAAGAAAGAAAGAAAGAAAGAAAGAAAGAAAGGAAGAAGA